GGGGGGGGGGCTGGGGGGTGAGAGGAGGAGACATTCATTAACCTGCACTGCAACAACACCAGCTGTCACTTTTCCACCCACCTGCCTGGCTCATTTTGCAGCCAGGGGTGAGGGGAGAGCGGAGGGGGGTCAGGGGAGGCAGGTGTGGGGGTACCCTACCTGGGCAGCTGTGGCGTGGGAGCTGCTTGCTCACAATGCTTTGGGCTGCTGAAAGGTGAGGGAGCAGTAAGGTCTCCAGGCTGGAAAGCAAAGCTACTGCCGATCCTAAGCAGCCTAACACCAAGTACCAGTGATGGCAAGGACCCCTTTGCCCCCTCCCCAATCCCTCCACTCATGCTGAAGACTCTTTAGGCACACCAGGGCTCTGCACGCTTCATTGACAGGAGCCCACAGACCTCTGAGCCAGGCAACAAAGCAGAGCTCTACAAAATCACCTCTGCTCGCTCTCTTTGGGAGTGATTCCAGCATGGCTGCATGGGCCAAGAGCCAGCTCTCCTAACCCAGCCGCAAGAACAGGATGTGTTTCACTCCATGTACACATGTCTTCCCGTGGGGTCACCACATCCCAGAGTCACACCACTCGCCCACATCCCAGCTGTGTCACTACCCAGTGGGGTAACCGGTGCAGGCACCCCCATGCTGACTCTGGGAGCAGCGTGAAGAGCCCATGGCGGGGCCAGGAGAAGTTTAGACACACTCCTGCAGCACCCAGCCATGTTACTCAGCCCTGACAGCTGGTCTCAGCTGCAGCCAGCCGGAGCTGGGATATCTCTCTGGGTTACTCTGGCACCTGCAGCTCCCTGGATAACAGAGCATGAAGTGCAGCTTCGGTGCCAGGAGAAGCTCCTTTGTGCAAGTGCACTGGTGTGTTTGTTTGTGTAGATGGGTGTGTTTGAGGGTGGGGAAGGGGGTAACACTGCTTTTACCCCCACAGTGGACAGCTGTGGGCATCCTGGTCCTGGATATGCTTTAGAAACTGCCACCATTGTCCTTTCCAAAGCCAGAATGTGCTTGCAGTGGATTCCCAAATGTAAGTGGATAGTTGCAATTCCTTATCAGCCACTGTCACCCAACTCTTCCTCCTTGGAGACTTGTCCCTCTCAGTCAGGATTTGGAAAGGCAGGCTCCATCCCTTCTGCCTGCTGCTGCCTCTGGGGCTGGGGTCCTGCAGGCACCCAGCCCAGTAGAGTGGCATAGGTATGTGCTGGAGTGATGCCAACCTGCTGGCCTCAGTCACCTTGATCCTCACCCTGCCATCAAAGGAAATGCAGAACCACCATTGCCCTGAGTTTTGCTGCTAAGAAGAAACACAATTTCCTCTCCTTTTGACACTATACAGGCCCTGGAGCTCAGGCTCGCCCACTTTTCCATGTGGGAAATGTGCTGGACAGGACCCCTGCCTCTCCCTGCCATAGGCAGCAGCTCCTGCAGGTCCATAGCAGCAGCTCCTGCCATAAGTTGCCTGGCTGTCCCCCCCACCACTTTCCAAAGAAGCCAGAAAACCCCAAAACACCACACTGGTGCTGCTGTACTTCAGCAGACATCTCCAAGCGTATGTGCTATGTCAGAAATGCTCTCTCACCCCAACCTCTCTCCTGCAAGGGTAGAGCCCCACCATGCACCAACCAACCACAAAGACTGCCCTTGCAGGGCTGCCCTGTGGAAAACGGGAGAAAAGTAGGTCCCTTGAGCTTGCAGAGTGCCCCACATGGGACAGTCATCCCAGGGAACAGCTTCCACCTGCCCTGACCCTGGCATCTCCAGGGCAGCATCTACCAGCACATGCTCTTCCCTGGCAGGCCTGCAGGCAGCATGGGGATTGAGCCCCTGCTTATGCACTCAGCAGAGCTGGCCCGGGCAGAGGCAGGCTCAGCCTCCTCACAATAGCCAAGGGTGTGCTGCCTCACTATCCCACGACTAGCTCACATCAGAGCACCTCTCACGTCCATCAGAAGCCACCATTGTGCCCTGGCCTGATCTGAGCACGGACTAAAAAGTCCCTATTCTCAAATACCAAAGCAATACAGCTGAGCCAGCAAAGCCCTGTATCTCAGACATGTGAGGCCAGGAGTGAAGAGTCAGAGGCCAGAGCTCTGCCCAGGTCCTTGGGAGGATCATCTTCACGTTTTTGCTTCCCAGACTTTGCCCTGCCTTCGCAGACACTGCAGGCTGGCCAGGGCAGGACCTTTCCAGGTTCCTACCCAATACTCAGTATGGGGGGAGAAGGGGTTGATTCCAACCAGGGGCTGTGCACACCTGCAGCAGGGGACCCAGGGGACTGTCTCCCAACACTGCCACCTTCACCCCGTGGACACAGAGCCACACTAAGTGGGTCTTTGCAGGGGATTCAGGCTCCCCAGCTGCAATGGGACAGCAGAGCCTCGCAGACACCCTAGCAGGGAAGACCAAGAGCAGCTTTGTTCCCTTCCCTTTATCTCCCAGACAATGGCACGATTCAGCAGGTGTTAAATGTTTTAATGGGATTCAGGATAGCTTCTGTTGCCCACCTGCCCCAAGGCCATTCACCCCTCCCTAGGAGACAGGACTAACAGCCAAGAAGAAAAGGCCTGTTGTGTGTTGCATTAACTGCTTGATGACTGAGCACTCCTGATAACTAGCACAAGGAGGAGGGGAGCCCCCAAGCCCACACTCAGCCATCCTCAAACTGGCTATATACCTGTCGGCAGCCTGTCCCGTCCGGCCTGGCCACCAACCCACTTCACTACCCGAACAACAGTGGGAAAGAACAGAACCCGTATCTACAGTATCTTCATTAGAAGGGTGTGCATTAGAAACGTGGCTGGTGTTGGGGCAGGGACCAAATCCATCCTTGGAAACCAGTACAAGCAGCTCAATCTCCCACCTCAGATGAGGTTAGCTGAGACAGGGCTTCTCCCCTCTTCTGGCAGCTGGGCTGGGGGTCTGGCTCTGCTACAGTCCCACGGCTGATTGCCTTCACCCTCAACAGTGGGTAGCAACACAACCTCTTACTAATGGACAAGTTCTCCCCACCAGTGCTGTACATCTCTGCCAACCCTTCACTGCACCCCAAGATCCAAGCAGCAGGGAAGCACTGAAGCTGCTGGGTGAGTGCATTGCAGTGGGCTCCCCACTCGGCAGCTCCTGGGGGTGCTACTGTCTCCCACTCCCTTTGCCAAAGGGACAGCGGTGTGTGGCTCGGTCACACATGCTCATGTTTTCCAAAACCAGGGCCAGGGTCTGGTTCCCAGCTTGAGAGGATGAAGCAGGATTTTCCCCAACCTGGGAAAGGGGCTATCCCTGGTGGGTTTTTAACTCAGGATGAGCATAAAAGAAGAAAAGTGTCAGACAGCTGCTAATAGCTTTGCTTAGTGCACAGAGTGGTTCTGGGTGACAGGCACCAGAGAAGACCTAGAACAGAGGTGACACACCACCATCTCACAGCCCCTGCAAAGAGCCAAGGGAAGAAAGATTTCTATCTCAGCTGTGTAGGTAGGTCTCAAAACCCCTGTTCCCTGACTCTCTCACTCTCTGATGAAGGCACTGTCTCAGGGCTCTCTTCTACCAGAGAGATACTAATCGGAGAAGTGAATAGTCTGATAGTGCTCCAAGAGGTAAGTACAGTGTGAGTTCTGTTTCTTCCAGGTCCGGGCCATGTTCAGCACGGGAGAGGAATGGAGGATAGGAGTTTTAATGACAAAAAATCATCCTCCGCATGTGTCTGCACTCAGGCTCCATCCATTTGCTCTTGGGTGTTACAGCAGACCAACTCACACCATTCCCCATGTTGACCCATCTGTCCCACAAGGCAGAGTTAAAGGTGATGCAGCAGATCTGGGGATGGACAAACTCACTAATGCTGTCTCCACTGCTCCAGGGTGCCCTTGGGCTCCTGCAGGAAGCTGGATTCAACTTGCTTTAGGACAATAGTGAGGCTCCTGCCCCTGCCTGTGTTACCCATTTGGGAAGCCTGTCACAGGACTACAAAGCATCTGCAGTGAGCCAACCCTTGTGAGGAGCCTGGACCAGGCAGAGTCACCCCAGCTGGACTGAACAGCCAGTCCCTGCTGCTGCCTTGAGCTGGGGAGGAACAAGGTGGTACCCCATCACCTGTTCAGCACCAGCCAAAGCCCAGAGGAGGACAGAAAAGCTGCTGTGACATAGGAGACCTGGCACCCAGAGTGCTGTGGGCTGGGGGAGGAGATGGTCTGCACTTCTCATGAGCAGGATCCAGGACCCATGTGAAGGCCCCAGGCACCCAGGCTGAGCTCAGGAGCTGGCTGTGCCTTTGCTGTAACTCTGACAACAGGAACAGCTCGGCCCTGGGGCTTAGTAACAGTTACGCAGGCAGGGCTCCTGCACAGAGTGGAGTGCTGGGGTGGTGCTGGGTGAGCTGCGGTACCCCCGGGGCACAGCAGGCATCTGGCCTCTGCCAAGTGGGGCAAAAGCTTTCTGCAACTCCTTGTGCATGGTCTTCTTTTGGGCTGCAAGGGGAGAAGGTGCAGCTCCGGTCTTGGCTGGGTGTTGGCACTGGAAACACGGGGAAGAAGGGTTTGGAGGGGTCACCAGCTGCATCCCCACCAAAGCAGGGTGACTGGTGAGCCCAGCGTAGGCTGCAAAGACGGGAGATGCTGCAAACCTAGCCTCACTGCTTGGCACAGCCCACCTGCAGCCTCTGCCAGCAGCCTCTGCCAGGGAGCAGGCCAGCAGTGCCCAGCACCAGCCCCAGCTCCGCGCTGGCACCTGGGATTCCTCACAACTAACAGTGCCACCTCCCGGCTGTGACACACCCGGCTCCCTCACAGTGACGCCCTCCTGCAGCCTGCCCGACCCCTGCGCCAGGCCAAGGCTCAAAGGCTTCCCCTTCCCCAGGTGACAGCCTTGCAGTTGGGAAAGGGGAGAGCTCCTCCGGCGTGCTCCCAGACCCAGATGCATGGATTACATGTTACACAACGGTGTGTCTGTGTGCCCAGAGGCCAAGCTCCTTTTATTGGGCTGCCGAGTGTGCTAGATGGTGCTACAGCTGCTCTTGGGCTGGGTCGCTGTACATGGGACCTGCAGCAGCCACTGGAGCAAGGAGGGGAGGAGGATTCAGTACCTGTGTCCTATTTATGTCAGCATGGTCTCAGCACCTCAATGCCCAGCTGTCAGTCCTTCCTCAGCTACATTTCCAAGCAGATTTGTCTCCTCTCCCAGCTGGAACAGACTGGGAGCTGTGGGAACAGTCACAGAGGTTGTTCATATGCTCCCTGTAAAGCGCAGGGAGGTTCGTCTCTGATGATGTGGCCAGCCACAGAGAGGAGAGATCTCATGAACTCTGATGTGGAGTCACCAGAGGATTGAAATTGGAACTGAGGAAATAATCAGGACATAGCTCCTCAGAAGTAGCCAGCATGCTGAGCTCAGGTCATGGTGTAGAAAGATCAGAGCTGCTCTGGACATCACAGGGATAGAATGAAGAGTGGAGAGAGTTGATGTGTTTGAAGAACTCAAGCAGCACAGTGCCCAGCAGCTATTCTCGCAAGGATGGGGGTGCTGGATTGGTGATTCTAAAGAAGAAGAGATTGCTTTTGGGGTGGGGAGAGTGCAGCCTGCTGCTGCCTCCCCCCAGGCAATCCTCCCTCCCTGAGGGATCACAGGGAACACTCATGTCTATCTAGACAAAACTCCTGCAGCTCTGCAGATGACATCCCCATCCAACAACCCTCTCCCATCCTCCCTCAATCCCATCTCCCTGCCCTTCTCCCCAAGCTGGGGCAAAGCCCTAGATCTGCCTCCCCACTGGTGCCACCTTCCAGCTAACTAGATCCCCCATTATCATGAACGACGATTGCTTTGCACCCTTTCTGCTGTCAGAAGCTGTGCTGCCTGCAGCTTGACCATGTTTCCCGAGAGACCCTCCTTGTGCTGGGCTCTCCAGTGCCACAGGCCAGCCCCTTCTGCCAGCCATCCACTCATGGGGCCCTGTCTCAGAGCTGCATGATGGCCTCAGGCTCACAGAAGGGCTGTAGCGTGTCCACCTCTGGTCTGAGGCTCAGGATGAGCCAAGAAGCGGCAGAGGCTTTGGGAGTGGATTCCCTCTTTTGGCACAGGCAGCCTTGGCATTGATAAGCAGCGATCCAGCTAATCCATGTAGTCTAGAAAATGGGTTATGCTTCAGCCTGACATAATAAGGACAGGTCCTGTCCCCCACCATAGCACAGATACACTCTGCTACCTTCGGGAAGGGCTGGGGGGCAGAGCAATGACTCTGGGCCGGGCTGTCAGCACCACCTCTCCACGACTGGCTTCAATCAGGATGTTCTGCAGCGTGTTTTCCAGCACCAGCTCCACCAGGTTCCCAAAGGCCAGCTGCCTGGAGGGACAAAAGTACAGGCAGAGGACAGTTATCAGAAAAGAGATAAGGCCCGCTGCTTGCTGTGACTCCCCCCAGGACACATCAGGCACAGCAGTGGAGCACACACTGTTTCCTACACACTGAGGCCAGTGAACCACAGACTTGAGCAATGTGGGTGCTGACCCTCCTCTCAGAACTGCTACCAGTTGGCATCAGGCCATGACCTCGGACAGAGCTGGGTAACTGTGGTTTCACTGGTTTCTCCCTCCAAGCTGTGCTGTAGTTAGTATTTGTGCATATGCTTGTGGCCTGTAGCAGTGTGCAAAGGTGTAGCCACAGCAAAGGCAAAGTTATGAAATACTGCAGTAAAAAATAAAAGCACCCACTGCACTCTAATGTCTAATACAGCCAAAATTGTCTGAGCATAAAGCAGACTTCACTCACCACCAGCATCCTGGCACTGCCCAGGGCTCAACCCCAAGACACAGCAAAGCTGTGCTCTTCACAAACCTGCACTCGGGAGGGGGTGGTGCAGCAGGCTAGTGTCGATTTCCACCCAGAGCACCCAGAACACCACAGCAGAAATGCCACAGGACAGAAGGAGAAATGCATTTCTGGACAGGCAGCGTGCTGCCACGACTGCCCTGCCTGTGCAGCTCTTACCTTTTATGTGTGAGTTCTTCCTCACCTGCTCATCATCTCCTTCTGCTCCCTCAACTGCTCGTGGTGCAAAATCTCTGAAGACTCCAGCAAATCATAGTTGGGAGAGGATTCCTGCCTCATTTCTTTCCTCTCTCCATCCTTCTCAGGGTAAAGATATGGGGAAGGAGAGACCCTGGAGGGGACCATGGAGCACTGTCCCCTGTCCTGGAGCTCTGCACACCGGAACTGGGAGAAATATGGAATGGGCTCGTTCAGGCTTTTTCTCACTGCATCATGGAACTGGCTGTTCTGCAAGAGGCCTCTGGGAGGAGAAAAACAAGGGATGAGTCCCAGCAAATCAGATATCTGTATGACCCCAAAGGATCGTTACAAGACACTACAAATCAGAGGAAAACTCTCACTGATGTGTTTAGTCTGTCCTTTCTTGCTTTCTGGGCCCAAGGGAGGCAGCAAAATGGCTTGAGCTAAGGAAACTACCTTTGCCTCCGCAGCATTGGTTCTTTACCTTTCTGCAGCTGACAGACAAATTAGGAGAATCCAAATGCAGCCTGTTCCCAAGACCATGGGAGGCAGAGTGCCCTGGTTGCTGGGCAGTGACACTATTCACTATGCAGAGATGTGCCCAGCTCCCAGCTGTGGAGCAAGACCCTGCCTTTGGCTGTCACACCAGGACTCTTGGGCTCATAGTCCCCAGGGCAGCCTTTGGCAGGCTGGATCCCCTGTCCTGGTGCAATGTGAGTGCACAGACTCCTCTGGGATCAGCAGCGGCTGGCCATGCTGCATGCACTCCCCGGGAGAACAGGTGATCCAAAGTGGCTGAGGGTGAAGGGACACGCACCTGATAACACCTGTGAGTATGTCAGTCACTATCTGCAACTCCTGTTTGGAAGCAGCAGCCAGGGACAGCCATTTGGGGTCCATGTCCATCCTGTCTCTGCCCCTAATTCCATCCACAAACTTGTTCTCCAAGGGCTGGTTGCTGAAGGGGCTGGGAAGGAAGGAGTCGTTCCATCAGTGACAGCACTACCGAACACAACTAACACAGACCTGCATCCCCGTGGCTGAGCAGCAGCTCTGCAGGCAAGCAGGGATTGGTGCAGGGAACCAGGGGAGGAATGGGAACTGCTGAATTTGTGCCAGCAGCAGGGACATTGCCGTAAGAGAGGAGCACTGAGCTCCAACAGTATCTGCCTTTTAAGGGAGGAACAGAACAGGTCATGTCAGCTAATGCTGGGGAAAGCAAGGCAACTCCTCTCTAATACTGAGGCACTGGAGAGGATCAGAGGTCAGCTCCAAGTTCAGTGCATATCACAGCATGGGCAGCCCTGGCTCAGATGAAGAGGCCAATCCAAAAAGCTGTATCGCTTACCGGGACAAGAAGTATTTGGGGAACTCTGAGGTGAAGTTGCTGAAGAAGTCCTCAATAGAGTAGGACCTGGCTGTCACACCAAGGTGTAAGAGAATGGGCTTGGGAGGCTCTGGTTTGACCCATGCCCAGCTGGCTTCTTTGTCCAACAGCAGTCTCCTCTGAAAGTGTCCAGCTGGCAGATTGGGCATAGGGTGGTTTTTAATAGGGGGTAATGTCTGTTGGAGAGAAAAAAATGGAAGGTACTTAGTTGCTCCTTTGGTTACAGGTAGGCTGGTGTAGGTGTGAGCACAGGCATGAGAATTAGAAAGCCCAGCAGCCAGAGCCACCAGATTCTGGACAGGAGACAGTGTCCAAATGGTTTTAGCACTGCAGTACCGCTATCAGGCATAAGCAGCCATGCTGGAAATCAGGTCTGCCCCCTCCTCACTACCTAGCGTGCCAGCCCTGAGTGCCAGCAGGACTTCAGGGTCCTCCCAGGACACTCAGAGCTGTTGTACTCCGATTCATCCCTGTGGAACTCTGGGAGAGCACCTCTGCTCTTCTGAACACACTGGGAGTGCTGTGGGAGAAGGGATGTGCAGGAATGCATGGGGAAATTATCCCCCAAGACTGGAAGGAAACCAGGAACTGACTCCAGCCACACTATATGGGTTGGTTTGGGGTTGCGTTACCAGCAGTCAGTGTGAGGGAAGCTTGTTAGGGCAGGAGCAGTCCAGAAGCGTGGGCCAGGAGGACACCACTCAGATCTGTATAAGACCTCAGGCATCACAGGACTTCAGCGACCTTTGAGACATAGCTCTCCAACCTCTGAGAATGAGGCCAGAGGCCTTCACCGCTCTTGACACAGACACAGCAGGTGACTGCAAGCTCCAAATTTGTCACTAGGATTAGAGGACTAAATGAGACTGGTTTTACTTTTCTCCAGCCATACTTATGTTCAACCCAGAGAACGCCTCAACCTGCATCACTTATCACACCTAACAGCACAGGGCAAACAGTCCAAGCTAGAGCTGCCACCTTCACACGGGGCAGTGCGGGGCATGTGGAGGCACTATGCAGGGTCCCAGGGGCACTGCTACAGCCTTGCAATGGTGGCAGGCCTGAGAACAAGCTGCATCTCCTAGCTGAGTCCGTCTGTTAAGGCCCAGCCTCATGTCAGCTCCCCTTAATCCTTCCATGTCTTGGGTTAGCTGGTTCTCCACAAGGCCTGTCATTCCCACAGCGTGTCCTGCTGATGGCTGTAGATGCAGCATGGTTCTGCCTTTGGGCCCAGGCAGTCCTGTAGAGCATTCACTGGGACCTTGTCTCACCCCTTGGCCACCACTGCTGTCTTTTCCAACAGTGTACACAGTTGTGCAAACTTGAGGGGGAAACAAAGATGAACTGGGCAAATTGAGCTTTAAAGCTTTCCATGCACTTAAATCAAGGCAGTTCCTGCCTGCAGCTTCTCTCAAGGCACAGAGCACAGCTCTTGTAGTGCTGAGGACAAAGTCTGCACTACGTCACACCAGGGTCCTGCTGCTTTCCATCATGGCACACATTCCATTGTGGCCCCAGCGTGAAACCAGGCCAGGTACCGTCCTGCCTGTGTGCATCTTTTCTGCTTATTTGAAACCTTTCCCCCTTTCTCTAGTCATGGGTGCACATTTGGTTCCAATTTCATTTCCCATTCACCTCAGCTGGAAAGTTACTGCCCACAGGACACAGCCAGACAGTCTGATTCTTCTGCTTCCTCCAAACAGTCTGTCTCCCAAAGCCTTGAAGCTACAAATCCTGCTGTGCTCTGTGCTCAGGCTCCCACGCTGTGATATCCAGCATCTGCCTTTTTTCTAAAGCAGTCAGTTTGATTCTACTATGGGTGAGACAGGCCTGATTTACCTTGTATTTCCTGATCACAGCTGAGGATTCGGGAAGATTTTCTGTCTCAGCAGAAACTGATGACCTCTGAAAAGAAAAAAAAAAAAGAAAAAAAAAAAAAAGAGAAATTGCTGTGTAGGAAAGATATGGAGCAGAACAAGACTCCAGGATTTTGTTTAACTTTGTCCCAGATGAGAGTAAATGATCTCATCCTCCCATTCTTCAGTCAGGCCACATTCTTACTGGTAGTTACGTATTTCTCTCCAGTGTTTATTCACGGTTAAGAATCCAACCACCGGTTTCCAGAGCCACTGGCTTTGTTTTTCCTAAGGCTTTTCATGCACTTCCAAATTTCAAATGATCATTAGTAATTTCAGAGTTTGTAAGGTGATTCTTGACTAGAAACCAAGATTTTATTTTCCACTATCCACGGACCAGCTATGAGATCTTGAGTATATCTGAGCTTCATGTCCTCTCATTAACTTGACTACATTTTCTTAAAGAACATTTCTTGCTGACATCAGCTGCTGTTTCTAAACTGAGCTAAGCTGGTGTGAAGTTCTGGCAGCACTTACCCATGCAGGTGACTTTGGCTTCCTTTTAGTCCCAAGGTCCTTCTCTGTGATGGTGAATTCCACAGCCTGCCGCTCCTTCTCTTTTTCCCACTCCCGCAGGTCCCTCTCATACTGAACCAGGGACTCCTGGATGTATATCTGTGAAGCCAACCATGATTGGAGGGAGAAGGGCTAGAAGGGAGCTGCAGATAACAGTCTCTGGCTCCAGTTCAGGCCTGTCACCAACTCCTCCCTTCCAGGAGGTCCCAGCCAGAAGCTCACTCCCTTTTCATGTGGCAGGAGAGGGAGAGAAAGTGCTGGCCAGCATTATGGAGCAGAGGATTCCTTCAGATGGAAGCTGCTGGCAGCTGACTGCTGGGGTCAGGCATTTGGGAACTGTGGTGACATGCCCAGGTGATGGTAACACACAGATACCTCTTGGGTCTCACCTCACACACCAGTTCTGTGCTGTAGAAGGAGGCACTCCCTGAAGGCTGCAGTGTGATGAAGCAGGGGATGCTCTCTCCAGGCTGCACAACTCCTGACTCTGGAGCAATATGCAACACCTGGAAAAAAAAAAAACAAAACAAAAAAAACCCCAAACAAAACAAACAATAAGTCACAGAGGAGCTGTTTCACTGTCCTGGGACCTCCTACATGCCTTCTCTGTGCAGGAAACACAGGACTGGGAATTCTCTACCCTCCCCTTCTCAGACATATGTTGCATGAGACAGATGCAGCTGATGTATTCAAAGAACAATCATGGACTTTGCTGGTAGACAGGGTCCTGAGATGCATTACTGCAGCCTGTAGTTCCAGGTTCAAGTATCCTCACTGAAGTCATCAGAGTCCCCTTCTGAATTCCTATCTTTCCCCCTATCCTAACCCTTGCCTTTGCTTCTCTGTGCCCTTTTCTTTTATCAGCTACTACAAAAGTCAATTCCCACTAATTTCTGAGTGTCTGGTTGAAAACGGAGTTGTTAGGTCATTTCATGGCACAACAGAGATGGGCAAGAAGGCTGCAGAGGAGAAAGAAGGACTCACCCTCTTGTCTTTACAGGTGCTTATCTGCCAGGCAAACACAACAGCCTTGCTCTTTGAGATACTGTTGAGAAAGACAAGTTGACTGGCTTTGGTGCAGACTGGGATATTTCCAAAGCAAATCCTGCTGTGTGACAAGGTGGCTGCCTGCAGGAAGCAAAGTGAAAAACCATGAGGAGCAGCAAGAAATGAAGACAAGATGTGGCCATTGGGGAGGGGCAGTCACACAGACATCTTTAAGTAATCCAGCAATTCATAGATAATATGTCAGTTACCTTTACCATAACAACTTGGAGGAGTGTTATATTTCTCTCATTTTTGCTTTCATTGCAATGACTCTTTAGAGCAAGAAGACAGCCCTGCTGCAGTGGGATGGAGTAAGCAACAAATAACGCTGGTGCTGGGGCAGAAGAGGATCTCAGGAGTAGAGAGTACCAGTAGTGCCCACATTGTCTCTACAGTACTTGCAATCCAGGCCTCTTCCTACTTCAGTTGGCAAACACACAAGGTGCGTACTTGTGCAACATAATCATCAACACGCATGCAAGTTTTGGGAAACTTCCCTCCTGCATCTTGCTACTAGTATGTTACTAGTCTGTCCGATTTTCCAGGCACAGTACAAACTCTAATTAATTACACTGATCATTAGAGAAGCTAATGACTCTTGGTTACAGACAACAGAGCCTTGTGGAAGGGCATTTTTGCTTAAGACAGGTTTTTAATCATCTCTTTGCTGTAACCAGAAATGTAATCACCCTGTTGGAAGCCAAAAAGCATATGTGGCTGTGGCTGGGCTCCAAGGTGGGCACGTTAAAGTCACATAGGATGAATCCTTTTCCTCCCTGGAGTATTCCTCTGCTAATGCTGTTTAATGCTGATTCACTATGCTGGGATCGGTGGCTGAGTTTAACAACAGATTGTCCAGGCTGGCAGGCCAGCTCTGGCCAGTTCCTGCTGAGCCAACAACAGGTTGAACAAGTGCATTCCTTGGGATGTGCCTGAATTAGTGACCATACTGCAGTCTGTGTTCAGGTTATGCATCACTGGAGTTTGGCTGTGAAATGGTGGCGGCCAAGCCCTCATAGAGTATGTCAGGAGTATAATGTTATTTTTGTGAATTTGTTACTAAAGAAAAAGCTGTTGTAGGTGCAAATGACAAAAGTAGCTGTGATGAGGGGTAACTTTTATTAGAAAATTCAGAAGATTAACAAACCCTAAAGCCTGTTTGGTTCTAATGGCAGCAGAAGCAGCTAACTGGAAGGAAGACACCTTTCAGAACAACTGCTTTTATGAGTTTGGCTCTAGATGACCTACTAGAAGGGAAATACCTTGCTCTATCTCATGACAAATGAACTCTTCTGCAACACAGGCTACTGCTGTATGGGACCACTTGCATATTTCAGTCTCTCTCACACATTTCTGGACTGATCATATAGCTCATAGCAGCATACCTGGACTTACCTGCCCAGCCACAGTTAGCTTGGTAGAACCTGGAAAGACTGAAGGAGACAAAACTTCGCTGTATGTGGCAGTCTCTCCTATGGTATTCGGATCATAGCCTACTCCCTGGAAGGTGATCAGAGCTGATTCACCCCCCAGGATGTGGATGGGAATATCAACCTGCCTTGGACAAGATAAGAGTTTTAAGCACAGAATCATATTTAGGAGAGATGTGCAATAAAGTAGTATACTTGCTAACGGACTGGTCTAAATACACCACATGCAAGAAATTCAGTCTCTTTTGTTCTTTTAGGCCTTGACCTTCCCTGTTAACCCGAGAAAGTTGGTTAAGTAGACAATTAGCCAGTTACTGTATGAGATGAGCAGGGACTCCCTCTTGGAGCAAAGGCTGGAGTTTTAAAATTCAATTTATTTGTCTTTCCATGCATCCACCACAGAGTGGGGCAATAAGTAGTGCTCCAGCTCGGGCTCTGCTTGCTTGCTGCAGCCTAGGACAGAGGGCCTGGGGAAGGCTGTTGCCAGAGGGCTGCAGCAGAGTACACTGCAATGATAAAAGACACCGACTTCAGTTTCTTTGGTTGAAGTCAACAATGAACCACAGATCTGATCAGATACTGTATATAACCCCATTCACTATTTGATCCTTGAAAAATATGACTGGGTTGTGGAAGAAATCTGTTCCTTGGGAAGAAGAAACTTATAACAATTTATTGGCTCCATTTCCTGGGCAGACCAGCTACCCATTTGCTCTCAAGTCTCTGCTTCTTGGAGGAATGGAGCTAAATTCAGCTGTAGCATGACATGGACATCAGTAAAAGATCCAAAGAATTTTAGTCACACAACAGAAACAAACTGTTTCTGGCAGTCACTAGTTCTCACCAAGTACGTTCTAGCTTCCAATGGTGAGAAGATCCACTCAATGCAGCCTGTTGTGCCGGGGGGGATTTCTCCCCTGGGAGTTAGGCAGACAAACACAGGATGCTGAAAATTCTCATCTTGGATCCTCACGATGTTGTCCAGCTGAACTTCAAATATCACAGGCATAGAGCCACCATTGTAGAGTTCATAAATCTGAAGTGAGTCAGAGAGAGCAATGCTTATTATGCTGTGCTCAAGTTCAACTAGTTAACACTTCCCCAGAGGACTCTGATAAGTATTAATAATTAATTAGGCAGCTTGTCTCCCAAGAATGAGGAGACCTTATGGTGTCGGGATTTATCACTGAGGCTCTGATAGGAGCCTGTGCTGAAGGTTTGTCACCATACATGTACATTGTTAACTACAGTGCTGTTCCAATTGGTGCCCTGCAAATTCAGTCTGGGAGAAAATGAATACAAATCAGCTAAAGGGATCACTATAAAGCGGATTACTTGAAATGGAAAACAACTCAAAGTGATCTTAATTCAATTCAAACTTGAATTTCCCAAGTAAATTAGGCAGAAGAGAATCAAAGCTGCCTTTTCTGCTAAGTGTTTAAGGGAGTTTAATTAATTTACTAAAAAACTAATTAGGATTTATGCCAGAGTGCCTGGAGCTGCTAGACAAGTTTTCACTCAGATCCAATGCAAGAGAATAGGGTAGCAGCCCAACACATCTCATAAGCATTTGGCTAGAGTGAATGCCAAATCATGTAAAACTGGAGATGGTGAGAGGTATTTTGCCTGCTGCCATCCCAGCAGCCATTTTTAGGCTCTGCCTAGTACAAGTCTTAAGGTTTTGCTGTGATGGTTTCCTGTGAAGGCCATTCTGTTTCCTGGGAAATGCTTCAGACACTGCCTGTCTTTGGGACACAGTAACACTATGTCACTCCCTCTGCTTGCTCCTGGGTTGGGCCCCAGGATACTCACCTGTGTGGGGGGGTGGGAGGTCCCAATGGCAATGGGTGCAAAGAGGTGCTTAGTGGATGCAAAATGAACGTAGGGCTGGTCCTGTTTCACTGTCATGCCGGTGAAGTTCAGCTACAGTGGAAAGAAACACAGTTACTTTCTCACAGGGCCTTGGCCCCATCACTGACAACTGCACAAAGATTCTGAAGGACGTGGCAAGTCCAGAGCAACACATTACGAATTTAAGTTGATAATACCAGCACAGTGTGTCCTAGAAAAAAACAAGGAGATGGAGAGCCTATTCAACTGTTGGCTTTTCTCTGAAAGGTTTGCAGCTTGTTTCAGAGAGAAGGTACTTTTCTCTCTATGTCAGGCACCAGCTTCGGTGCTTCTCTTTACAAGTATATGGTAGAAATTCTCCATGAATGAAAGCGTCTGGACTGTGCATAGGAGAGTGTGCAGCTGTAACAGCCAAATCCTTTGGAAAGGCAGGGGTTTAGGTAAGTAATGGCCTCCTCTTGGAAGGGATCATCTGGATATCCTCCCTCTGGAGGACATCCTGCTCCAAGAATGTGTCTAACAGTCCAAAAGCTGCAAGAAGATCCCAGCTGAATTCAAGTAATGATCAACAGTATCCTGCTAGCAAAGTAGCAGCCAGGTACTTCAACCAAAGTGACATTTATAGAGCTATTTCATGGAAAGGAAGAGACACATAGTTCTGCATTTTGACAGAATTTCCAACAGGCTGGAAATGTGTCATGATGCATGATTTCCTGCAGGATCACCACAAAGCACTCCTGAGCTATTTGCCTTGAAGCAGAGGCTGCAAAGCAGTCAAAGAGATAGTAATGTCTCTGTATGGGCCAGAGGGAGCTAAACTGCTGCAATTCACAATTAGCTAAGCCTAAAGCATGGCTATTTTTCAAGTCCATGTGCAGAAAATAGAGAGGATGTTTGCAATGGCAGGTGGATGCCTCGGACAGACACCTGCAGGAGATACTGTATCAGCTGAGCAGAGAATGCCTATTCCGCCAAAACAACCCACTCCAGTTCAGCTCCATAAGCAAGGTGGAGAGAGAGAGAGAGGACTAGAAATACAACACTAACAAGGGCCTGCATGGGGTCTTTCCAAAGCCTTATATGAGCATTCAGCTGCCTGAGAGCCTCTGAGCAAGCCAGATGAAGTGAAATAGGAGGACAAGAGCTGACACTTTCAAAGTGCAAGGGGAGAAGAGACAGGAACCTTCCCAATCTTTGGGAGTGTAACACCCATTTATATTACTTGGGCCAAAAAGCCACCTTGGATTCCACCAGACCACAACTACCAAGGAAAAACTGTCATCAGTTTCCATAGACACAGCTTGTGACAATTAGAGGACTAGCAGTTAAAGGGAGACGAATGGATAAGTGAGATCTTGCTGCAATCAGTTCTCCTTCCAGAGTGCACACTTTGTCCCACAGCGATGAATTACAGCATGAGAGGAGAGAGATGCTGAGGATTTGCCAGGGAGCAGAGGGAGCAGAGCTGCCCAGAGTGCTGCAGGTGACATCTCACAATATTTAATTAGCAGCTATGAAGTGAAGTGCAAGCAATTCCAGTTTATGGATCCTGTGTGCTCAGGGATTCTCCCTGGGATCCAGCCATTGTCTCCAGAGAGTTCTGGGAACCAGCCTACCTCATCCTGCGACACCTGCAGCTAGCTGGGCTTTTCCTACTAAAACTGCTGAGGGCTGCAGATTCTGCCTGGCCAAACAACCCTGGAGCTCTGAGAACAAGGTTGCAGCTGCACTCTTACAGGCACGCTATGGTGATGAGGCAGAGGACAACCTGTGAGAGTATGAGGCAGCAGGAGGCTGTTCTCCTCCTGCACAAGGAAGTGGAAAACACACAAGTCCTCCAGAAGTTTTATCCTGCAGCCAAAAGAAATTGCCAATAGGAAACCAGTTTGGGTCCTTCAGAGCATCTATAAATCCAGTAATCACAGGACTGAAAGCTGGCCATGGAGTATAGGAGTAATGGGGAGGGAGCTGGAGATGAGGCAGACAGACTCTTGTGGAAGCAGCGGAGTGGGACATCAAAATCTGTCCACGTGGGTAGAACCATAACAGAGGTGAATATGGACCCCCCAAAAAAAGTTAAACATTGGCCTGCAGCTGATTAACATCACCACTCCGAAGCCAGGCAATTTGGAACTTATCAGAATGACCAGGCAATACCCCAGCCCAATGGTCTCCACCTCGCTTACTGTTGTTTTTTCAAATTTCTAAAACTTCACTTGTGGGGTGACATTACAGTATTTGCTTTCCTTAAGGTTAGCATATGTTCTGTGCATTTCACCAGATTCCCAGGTGAGGATCTGTTCAACCCTGACATGTGAGCACACAGGGGGCTGACAGCTCTGTGCTCTTCATGCCATGACTGAAAGGAAAGAAGGCCCACTGTGTTCAGCCCCACAGCTGCCCTCTCTGCAGAAGGATGAGCCTCTTCCACTCCTACTTTCTGATATTAGCAGTTCAGTACTGGCACTGTGCATCCCTGCAGGTTGTGACCATCTGCACTGCTCCAGGTCTCTGGATTGGCCTCTGCAGCTCCTATTGCCAGAGCTCCAATGTTCCCAAGGATCTTTTATCATCCCCAGGGACTCCTATACTTTTTAAGACCCTTCTACCGCAACAGCATGAGGTAGGGGTGGTGGCCTCTGGTAGCTACAAAAGTCACTGGCTATGTGGCAAGAAACAATATGTGCTCTATAGGCTTCGGGTGCTCCAAAGCCTATACCCTCACTGGCCAGCTGGTGAAATGCTCACATCCACTCTCAGGATTGTGCCAGGCAGGCAGAGCACAGGGAGCCTGTCCAAGGGCTTTGAGGGAAGGCACAGTTAAGCCACTGTTTGAACAGCTTGGTCAAAGGGTTGGATTTTCAGCTGACAACAGTCCTGAAAGAAAAGAAAAATAAAAGAGATGTGTGAACACAATGGTCTCATAGGAAACTTCAGAGACAGACAGGAAGGCTCAGCCGGGCATGAGCTGTGCCTGGCAGAGCACAAGGTGACTTTGACTCTAACTGACAGTTTGAGAGAGGGGGAGAGAAATTAGTTCCAAGCCTGAGGAAGTGCTCAGGAAAAAAACACCACAGATCAGCTCTGGGATGCTTTAATCAACCAGTGAAGCAGGAAGAATGAGTAGGAAGATCCTCCACCACTGGCAAGGAGGAGTAAGTGGGTGGACAAAGGCATCAGGGCTGCAGTGGGAACAACCAACCAGGGAGTACCTTCTGGGCCTGGGAGCAGCTGCCTCCATACCTCCAGAGCTGGAGGATGCTCTGCCAACCCTTTGCCAGCATGTGTGTCCCCAAACCACAGCCAGGGCAGGTGGTACTTTTGGAGAAAAGCACATTCCAAGGGATTTTGAAGAGCATAGAGAGCTGATGAGATGGAAAGATTCAGGAAAGCTGCCTATGAGAGAAAAGTCAGATGGGCTGCAGAGCTGGACTCCAAGATCACTGTGTGGAAGAACTCAAGATGAGGCAAATGAAATGCAGGGAAGCGAGCACAGAAATCCTGTCCTTTAGATACACTTGAGCATGGAAAACATGCAGGGACTGTAAAAGTCAGGAGGGCTGTTTTGGACTTGGAGTTGGTTTGGAGGAGGAAGCAATTCTGCACTAATACCGCCAATAAAAAGGTTAATAATATCAATAAAAGAATATCCTCTTGCTGGGGAAACCAGGAGATGCTACCTTCAAGGGCCATTTAGGCAGTGCTCTGCCACATCACACTGTGCTGGAACCACGAGTTTGTCAGGATGTTGGTTTTATGTCTTTGCTTGGCCCTGCGTTATTGCCTGGCCAGTGCAGATCCCAGAGGGAGGCCACAGCCCCTGCATGCCATGCAGCTTCTGGGGAAAACAACTTGTAATTACCTGCTGCTGTTCTGCAAACAGAAGCAAGAGATACTTGCTACCTTACCAGAATTTCATGGCCATAGGAAACCTTCAGCAGGACAGGGAGATGATCGGTGCCAATGAAATCATGCCTAACGGTGCAAGAGGAAAGAGAAGAAAACATTAGAAACCAAGGAAAACATGAGAAACCAACCTTGTGCCCAGGGTGAATAGAATCAGGGTCACACAGTGCATTAGAGACAATTCACTTCCCAGCTAAAGAGTCACTGTTGCGTAAGGGCCACAGAGAGGGAGGGGGACAGTTGTGTTTGGGTGGGAATGAGTGATGCAATGTTGATTTTAGTCATACACCAATTTAGAGACTCAAGTTTCTAGGCCAACACCATTTGAAATGCCAGCATTTCTCAGATCAGCTCTGCTGTGAAAGGGGAGGTGTTCAGCTTTTTTTGTATGCTCCACAGGCACACAAGGGCTAGCAGCTCTAGCTGATAACAAAAATAAGAGTATCACCATATAATCAAAACCGCAGGAAATGCAGCATCTTGTTCACCTCCTCAACTGTCAGGTCAAGGCAGATCAGTGACCCAAGAATGTCATACTAAATGCCTTTTGCACTGCAGTGTTAAAGAATATTAACAACATTCCCCTGAGGAAGACAAGGTTTGTAGGGCCCAGAAACTGGACACAGGGACTTTTGACTTGCCCAATCTCTCTGGGCAAGGGGCATGTGAAGGGAAAGGATCTGGCATGGAAACACAGGGGAGACTGATGGCATGTGCTGTCCTGGCACACAGCATGACGCTCTAAAGTACAGGTAGTTGCTGTCACCTGTGTGTGAGCTGGACAGATTCCTCCTGTCCTGGAAGAAGTTTCCCTGACTTTGGAGAAACACTGAAGAGCTGGTTATCCTGAATTCTCATCTGATGCAGCTCATGGGGGCTAAACTCCGCATCCTCTGCCCAGTGCTCCATGTCCATCTTCTGATCAGAAGGAAACAGGAAGGCCCTAGGGAACAGTCAGCTAGTCAGCAACAGGGACAAAAAGCTTCCCTGGGGCCATGGTCAGCACATTCAGTCCAACCACACTTAGCCCAGCTGGTGGACACATAATTTTTCCTCAGGTCTCATTTGCAGAACTCTCTGCCTTTCCTTGCTTCCCCACCCAGACCCAGCAACAGATAGATCTCAGTCACAGTTCCAGAACACAAGCCACACCTACAAAATCCACCCTATTAATTTGCAACGGTCTTATGGCCCCTGTGAGCATTTCCATATCCCCAGACAGACCCCAGAGGTCTGAGCTCCAGCGAGCACAACTTACCACTCCACAGGCACTACACCCTTGTTTGCCAGCAGGAGCATCACAAGGGTAGGCTCTGCGCCTATTGGGGCAGCTGCAAAGTTGAAATCCAGCAGGAGAGGGGTGTACACTGGAGGGGTCAAAGATGTGCTAGGCACAGGAGAGAAAGGAGAGGTTACACTGAGACAGGAAGAATGGTTGGCAGGGCATGACAGGGGAAAGGATCATTCTACACTGCCTTCTGTATAATTCTTCTCTGACTTTATGGTCCTGGCCTTATGTTTTGGGAGAAAGGATATTGGGCTTAAGGGAGGCCCTTTGGTTTTCTCCAAAACATCTTTTATATATGCCAAATGAGAGAGAATGGCACGAGAGTTCTGCTTAGCTGAGGCTTCTTTTTAGCTCCCCAGTACAAGGAAGTCACTGACATACTGGAGCAAGTCCAGTGGAGGGCCACCAAGATGGTTGGGGGCTGGAGCACATTACTTACAAGTAGTGACTAAGAGACCTGGGTTTGTTCAGCACTATGAAGCAAGGCTCAGGACAGCAGCTGCACAAGTTGCAACACAAGATATTCTGATCAGATACTAGGAAAAAAAGTTTTTACTGTGAAAGTGGTCAAACACTAGAATCAGGTGCTCAGACAAGCTGCCATTTCTTCATCCTCGGAGACACTTGGCATCGCACTGGACAAGGCCCTGAGCAACCTGATCTACTTGTCCCTGCTTTGAGCAAGGAGTTGGACCAGAGACTTTTAGAGGTCACTTGCCATTAAATTAAATTATTCTTTGTTTCTGTGGCTCCTCCCTAGGGAGGGTAAGCAGAGGAACAGAGGCAAGCAACTGCCTGCAGGGGCTAGGATGGAATAAGAGTGCCATGCAGGAGTGAGCTGCAACACAAGCCAACAGCCACAGCACCTCTGACTCATGTGTGGGACTGACAGATCATCTGAGCTATCTTCTTGTCTCACCTGTGCCTTGTGGGAACTCTGTAGGTGAGCTCTCTGGGTGTCGGGTCATGCTCCAAGTATTCATTCAGTGTGTCCAAGGAAAAGAGCTTCCAGAGGTGCAACATGCTGATACCGCTGGCACTCCCTGCTGAGCAGGCATCTGTGATGCAGAAAGTTGGGTAGACACCTGTTGCTACGATGCAGCAGAGGGGCTGCTGCTCCTCTTTTCTGCTCTCAAGGTCTGTAGCTTGGGAGAGAAAGAAACACCAAATAGTCATCATGCACCATTAAAGGGCAGCTGTCTGGGACAGCAAAATAGAGAGGCCCTACCCAGACCAAAGAAAGAATAGGACTTGCACGCAGCCTTTTCTTTGGCAGCTTCTGAAAACCTCTAAACCACTGACTTCTAGTTGTACCTTGACTTCTGCATTTAGAAGTCACCAAAAGACTAAATGTCATGCTTTTAAACAGTATGTTTACACAGTTTAGTTCTGCACTATGTGAAACCCCCCTTTTTTTGATTTAAGTCTCCAGCATAGTCATTTTGACAAGTGCCCCTTGTTTTCACACTGAAAAATCATAAGCAGTTGTTTATATCTTGCCTTCTCCATACTGTTGATGTGGCATTGCCATTCTCCACTTTCCAAGCTGGAAAGTCCTTGTCTAACTAGTCTCTTCTTGTACAAACACTGTCCCTCACCTCTGAACATCCCTGTTGCCACTCTTCATGCCTTTTCTAGCTCAACTGTATTCTTCCTTATACCCGGCCCAATGCAGATCTGCAAAAAGGAACCCAGCACTGGCTGCATGAAGCTCTCAGAATGTGTTTCAGGATACATTGTAAAAGGCCATGATCATGCAAAGGAGCAGGAAATCTTGTGACCACAGCAGCAGGAAACTTGGAGCTCTCCCTGCCCTGTCTGTACCTCACAGCTCAATCATATTTATGTGCAGCAAAAAGAGGCAGTACATAGGATCTGGCTCTTGTGAATTGCTCAACACAGGGATTTCTTTAGGCAGGACTCATACACTGGGAACTCTGCAGCTCAGCCTGTTATGGCACAGTCTACTTGGTTATAAGTGAATGATTTTCCCAAAATACCCTTCTGTTACCTGTGGGGGTGCAAATAGCATATTTGATTGACCAGATGTAATGCAGCCGTCGGGCTGGCCTGACTGTTATTCGGACAAAAGCTTTTGACCTTGCGGGAATTGTGCCTCTGGAACGTTCGAGCTCTAGAGCTGTAGAAGAAAAGAGGTGGTATGAGCTCTTGGCATCACTGATCTCTCTTACACCACACTTGCGTTCAGCACACAGCTCCCCAAGCCTATCTGCATTCAAGCCACTTCCCCCTTGTGCCTAATCATTAGGACCAGCTTCAAGTGTTGAAGTTGGGATTCCCAGACAACAACTGTAGGCAGCTCATGGGAACACCCAGCCTGCCTTTGGCAGGCAAAGAGCAGGAAACTTCCCCAGAGGAGTTCCTCTAGAAGGCAGCTAAGGGTTGCACTGCACCATTTCTTTTGGGAAGCTCCTTTATTTAACTCCCTTCTCTGCTGTGAAATAGCATCTTATTTCAAGGTCCAAACTGGTCTAACTTCAATGTCAGGCTCTAGGTTATGCTTTTTCCAGCAAGATAGAAGAGTCACCTATAGCAAATCCCTAAGCAAAGGAGCAGATACCTTAAGGCACTCAAGACAATCAACGCAAGCTAGCCAGCAAGCAAGTGCAATCTCTGAGTTCATGATAGAAAGATTTTGTAGAAAAGACAGGAAGGCCAAGGCTCCGTCCCATGCTAATTACTTTACAGTACCCAGTGGATCGCTGCGGACCTCCTCGGGGTCACAAGGCCCCGTGATCAGTTGCTCCACGCTGAGGATGTACTTCAGAGAACAGATACCATCATTTAGCAGTACAATGCTGCAGCTTTGCAGGTCACCAACTAGAACGTTTCCAAGGTCCAAGTGCTCCTTTTGTGCCTGGAATTCAAACCCGCCGTGCAAAGGTCACTATTACACATCCAGTGTAGCAGTCAAGTGTAGCCACCACTTATCTCACCACATGCCAATCCCTTGGCACGCACAGTGCAGTGCAAAGGGCTCCCTGCTTTGTGTAGGGCCTATCATGGGAGATGTTGGAACAGAACTGCAAGGGGATCGATCCCTCCTCCAAAGGCTCTCTCCTACTGTTATTTGGGTTGCTGGCTGGGTAAGATGCAGCACATTCAGGGCTGTGAGGACACTAGCTAGCAGGCTGCATGTGGGACAAGTCTGCTGGTCCCTCCATGACTTCATTAAAAGTCCCCTTCTCTTTTGGCTGGTCATCCACTTGCATGCAATTTATAGTGACTAAACACTTCTAAGACACTTCTATGCATCTGTCCAACATGATTGACACTGGGCAATGATTTAGAAAGTATTATTTAGCTCTGGTTCTTTGGGAAACCTGCCTGAAAATTAAAGTGGTTGCACAGATCTGCAGATAATAGGAGAAAAGCCAGGACATTTACATCATGCTGTTGCCATAAGGCTGCCAGAATCAGCTCTGTCATCTCCACTGAGAGTAGCATCTAGGAATTTTGATGTAAATTTTTATTGGTTGCCTCCAGTACAGATTGTGCAAAAAGGGGAAGCCCAAGGCCCCCATCCCATGCTAGCACTCTTCCTACTACCCAGTGGGCCTCGATTCCTTACCCTGATGGTGGCCAGCGCCCCCTCTCCAACAATCCGTAAGGCATAACGGACACTTCTGGGAGACACGGGGTCTGGGCTTTTCCTCCTCACAAACACCATAGCACGCAGCAGATACTTGGTCTCCTTGTCAGGAGTAAAAGTCCACGCCTGAGCCTGAAATTACAAGGGGGAAGGACAGCACTCAGAGGAGCTCCAGTCCAGAGCCAAGCCTATACACCACAGTGGTTACACAGTGTGCACAGCCCCTTCCCCCATTACAGCCAACCTAGTCCTCTACAGACAACTCTGGGTCCACTCTCCTTTCAGTGCCCCACCATCTCTGCCTGTGTCAAAGGTTCATATTCGGAATGCACAGTCAGATATTCAAAGCCAGGCTGTGGAGATATGCCAGTCCTCACTACTCAGGGAATACAGTAGAAATTTAGACCCTGGAATTACAGGTGGGAGAACAGAAGATCAACATCATAATCCCTCTTGTGCTCTTGTTTGTCCTCTGTCTATTAACATATCCTGATGCACAACGAACTTGCTGCTGTGTTAATGCCCAGTGCCATCCAGGGCATCATTACCTAGTGCCTGTTTAAGACCCCTTTGTTCCTGTAGTTAAGGAGAATGTCATCACATTTGGGCAAATCCATATTATGGGAACCCAAAGCTAAGACACTGACTGGTATTCTCCAACTTTGGCATTAATGACCCAAGGATTGGCAGCCCTTACATTCCTGTTCTAAACACTCCACAGCTGTATTGTAGAGAGCAAAATATAGCTTTGGTAGAAGAATTTACCATGGCTTCATAGGGCTGGAGGATCCCTGCAGTGGGGCTGACAGACAGAATCTTGCTGTCAGACTGATGGATCTTCCATGAGAAAACCATGGGTAGCCTTGTGCAGTTTTTTATGGTATACATTCGTGTAGTTGAGGTCCCTATATAGACGGGCTTGAAGTATAGATTTCCATCACCTTCTAAGAGTAAAAGAAGAGACTCCCCACAACTCTGGAGAGCAATCTCCTGTGGAATTAAGGGAAAAGTAACAGTCATTGGCTAGAAGTCTCAGGTACCTCTGGAGGGACCTTGCAAAGATGTTGCTCCCTCCAAAAGAGAAGCAAGAACAAACTGGGTCTGAAGGCAGAGGGGAACGACTTTAGTTTGTGTTGTCAAGGAGGGCTCTGAGCATAGTATGGTGCATTCCAGGAGATGGAAACCCAAGGAAACAAGGGGTACAGGATGTCTGGCACCACAAGCACCTTCTATCTCCACTGTTGAAAATATTATTTCATTCCTATTTCTAAAGGGAAAAATCCAAACTAACTTTTAGGAGATATAACAGGAATCACAAAGCAAGTCACTGGCAAAAGGGAAGACTACAGGGGAACAAAACTTTCCTCACTATCTTCCCTCACCACCTTCCCTCTCCCTACCTTGGTATATCCAGGATAAGAATTCAGCTGCAAAGGCAGGACATGCTGCTGCAAGACTGTGTTAACTGGGTGAGTGGAGAGAAAGAAAATCTGGTGGCCTCCTGGAATGATGTGTCCTGAGCAGGGCTTGACCAAAACAGAGGGACAGGCAGCTTGGTTCACACCAAAGGTGATCAAAGAGGTGCCTGTGTTCAAGAGCAGCATACTGCAGTAGGTATCAGTATTGGGAGCCACAGGAGGAAAAACCTGATGGAGACAAGCAAGAAGGGTTGTTTGCACTGGGTTTAGAAAACTAGTTTAAAGTAAAAGCTTTCACTGTGTTGAATTCCAGGTTCCAACAAACACTATCCTGAGTCTATGGAGAACTTTGCAACTGCTTCTCCTCAAGGAAAGAAGAAATCACTCAAGTGTATACATGTTATGGTCTTCTCTCTTCCCATAGTGGCCCTCATCTTTCACAGGCTCATGGGATCAGTGAAGCTACTTTCCATTATGCAACGCTTTCTGTTCATCCAGTAAGTGAGCTCCTTGCTGGGGCCTGCAGCCTCTGCATGGATAGTGACTTCCTGGATTAAGAATTCCAGCAGGCTGGAATTTGCCCCAGCTCATGCATATCCAATACACGCTTCTCCTGCTGAGGAGATTTTCTAAGAGGTTCTCAAGACTATTCTTACTTCCTATGTTCAGATCTCACTTTACCTTATAGGAAAAATACTTTCTTCTCCTACAGAAACAGCAGATTCAGTGAAACTTCCATTCTACCTTGCAACCACTTCTCTTCCATAAGTGTGGATTCTGTGTACTGCTCTCCACTTGCCTAAGCGTATGTGGAGTGTTTGAGGCTCCTGGGAGAGGACTAAGTGCCCTTGTCAGTGCCTATGTCCACTTAAACAGAAAGAGAGGAGATCCCAACAGCTTTCCTCTCAGAGCTAATGAGATGCTCAGTGCAACCTGACACACTGGAGGCAGATAAGCTAATGCAGGAGAAAAAGTATCCTACTTCTGTACCACAGCAGGAGTCTCCACACCATTAGAAACCACCTAGGTCATATCTCAGGATGGTACAATGGGAGACAAAGTAAAGACTTCAGAGGTAAACACTGAGCGTCTCTGCAAAGATCAAAACATCAATCAGTTACACACCTTGGGGACATCCAGGATGTACTGTGGGATGAAGTGCTCCCGTTCCACTTCGTATGTGTGTGCTCTCAGCCTGACAGTCAGACACCAGGATGGACAGATGGTGGCATCCTCCTCAATGTTGCTGTAGTGTCTCAGCACCTGCAGGCACACAAAGAACAGAACAGAATGCATGCAGGAAGGGAGGGTGGCAAGGTACCTTCAAGTGCATGTGTCATCACAAGCAGCAGTTTGTTTCCGTGACATCCCTGGGACTGAGGAATTGTCTTTTTTAGGGAAGAAGGACTGACCAGTGCCATATGAGGAACATGAGTGCTGCTTTCCCAAATAGCTACATTTCAGAGTGACTTTCAAGCAGGACTAGCCAAGCTACTCTGTGATACTACAAGAGTTGCCTTAGGGAAGGACACTTTAGTGCAGTTTGAGGTACTTAAATTAGCACTTAACAGTGAGTGACTGAAAATAATTATCTATCCTTTACCTGACCCTGAGAAACTTCTGACTCTAAAGTTACTCCCAGATATCCTCCACACTGGCTTAGAAGGGAGAAAAACACAAGAAGAGTAATCAACAATGTAATGAAGCTCTCTCATCTACCAGGATGCTTCTGTTTCTGGATGTTCTGCAGGCTAAAACTCCTAAAATTGCAGCCTTCTGTGACATGAATCCTACATCCCATGGGAGGAGAGGCTGTAGTGGTATTCAGTGCCCTCAGCAGCTTTTCTTGTGGAGGGCCAGACACAAAAAAACAAGTTACTGCCCATCACCCAGGTCACAACAACTATCCTTGTGCAGGCTCCCATCTACAGCAGTAGTGCAGTAATTCACAGCAATTCCTCCAGTGAGGTGTATGTTACTTCACATTCACTGGGGGCAAGAGCAAGTGTAACTGTCCACATGCATGAGCTGTGGCATACTTTGCTGATTTATCTTTGCCAGGACACAGGAAAAGGAGAAATTTTAACCGACCAGTGTATCAAAGAAGTGGCCAAAGGAGTTAATAAAGATGCCAGTTTGCCAAACTCAAAATAAAATGTTCCATTTGAATTTTATCTCCCCCAAAAGCCTTTAGCCTGCAAACAGTTGCTTGCTACGCCCTCTCTGGAAACTGGTTTTAGTAATTTGTACTAACCTTGTAGAAGGCAAAACCTTCCAGCTCCACTCCATAGAGACTGTTGAGCTGAGTGGGCTGGAAAAGGACTTGGAAGGCTGAGGACTTCAAAGGTGGGATGTCACAGATTTCAGGGATCACTCGGAAGGCACTGCTATGGCTTGGAGTCCAGGTAACAGTGATATTTCCTTTGGTGTGGTTGGTCACACAGAGAAGAAGCGGTTCTGCCTTGTGAAGCGGCACACAGCAACCAAAATCATACTCCCTAGGACTGACGCTAACATGAGGGGGAAACAAGACCAGGTCGCTGCTTACACCATCGTAGAAATATTCAGTCATGGAGTTGGCTTCAAAGTACTCTTTGGGAGGCTTGTCCTGAGCAATCTACAGAATGGAAACATTAAGTGTGAGCAGGGGAAGGGTGCCTGTGGAAGACACCTGGCTCTACAGTCCAGATTGCCTTCACGAGCAAGAGGGCATGCAAGATGCACTTCAGCAACAGTTCCCAGCAAAGCTCAAAGTTTAGTCTTCAAGGCGGCCCCTGTTTGTAAACCAGTCCTCAATCTGAAACTACATGAAGCAAAAGAAGACCCTGGGATTGAGTTAAAGCCAGAAGGTGGCTTAGTGGCTGAGCTTGGGTAAGACCCAACAGACAAAAATACTGTTGGTGTGTGCTGGCAACATTAACAGCAAAGATACTAAAGAAATCAGTCTGACACCTGCAAGTCCTTCTTGATCTGTCTGACCTGTGCAACAGAAGCCCAATATCTGCAGAGAACATCACAGGAGTATTGTAGGCTCCAGAGAGGGCACCTCATACCTCGAGGGGCAGCACAAGGGCTCCCTTTTCATCCATCTGCAACTTCCCATCCTTCAGCATCACACTCAGGATATCAGGGGGGTAGAATGTCAGTCCCCTCACCATGTTCGTTCGGTACCAGGAGAGGTGTCTTGCCTGAAGGATGGCTGGCTTAGCTGTGTCTGAATGGCAGGTACCAAAAAAGTCCACATACATGGGTTCCTGGGAAAACACCAGAAAGGATAACAAGAAATAAATTGCCCTTCTGTGATTGCTTTAAGAGTTACACTATCCTGCTACCTCACTTTCAAAACCATGCATGAGAAAGGCTTAGTATCTGCAATGTTAGACTGTTATTACTTTATGTCTTGATGTGGCCCAGGAACTTTCTTGAAACTGGCATGAAAGTCGAAGACACTTGGTGCACATCTGTGCAGCTAAATTTAACTCAGAGACCTAAATGGACAGGAGCCACCAAGGATGCACCTCACCCTATGCACAGGCATTACTGACTTGTCTGTCCACATCAGCCCTCCATTGCTGATTGGAACCTGCACCATGGAGATTCTGCTCAACAAGAGCATGGGTCCTGCACTTGGGTCACACAACCCCATGCAATGCCACGGGCTTGGGGAAGAGTGGCTGGAAAGCTGCCCAGCAGGAAAGGACCTGGGGGTGTTGGTTGACAATCGTCTGAATATGAGCCAGCAGTGTGCCCAGGTGGCTAAGAAAGCCAATGGCATCCTGGCTTGTGTCAGAAATAGGGTGGCCAGGAGGGACAGGGAAGGGATCATTCCCTTGCACTCAGCACTCGTGAGGCTGCACCTCAAATACTGTGTTCAGTTTTGGGCCCCTCACTGCAAGAAAGACACTGAGGCACTGGAGTGTGTCCAGAGAAGGACAATGAAGCTAGTGAAGGGTCTAGAGCACGAGTCTTACGAAGAGTGGCTGAGGGAACTGGAGTTGTTTAGTCTGGAGAAGAGGAGGCTGAGGGGAGACCTTATCACTCTCTACAACTACCTGAAAGGAGGTTGTAGGAAGGTGGGTGCCAGTCTCTTCTCTCAAGTGACAAGTGACAGGATGAGAGGAAATGGCCTCAGGTTGTGCCAGGGGAGGTTCAGATTCGATATTGGGAAAAATTTCTTCACTGAAAGGGCTGTCAAGCATTGGAACAGGCTGCCCAGGGAAGTGGTGAAATCACTATCCCTGAAGGTATTTAAAAGATGTGTAAACACAGTGCTTAGAGACATGGTTTAGTGGTGGACTTGGCAGTGTTAGGTTAACAGTTGGACCTGATGATCATAAAGGTCTTTTCCAACCTAAATGATTGTCTGACAGGTATTAGTGGAAGTGCAGTAGGAAGAGATTTTTGGGGGCTAAGTAAGAGAGGCCAGTCCTGGTGGGTTACATCGAAAAACCCCTGTGAGCTGTCTCAGAATGAAGACACTACCCTTAGCCTCTCATACCTGATGGTGGACAAGGCACACCACTCTGCGGTGATAGCTGATGGGGTGAGTAGGTCGAAAGGTCACCTTCAGCGCTAGTGTTGTTGTGCCCTCCAAGACTCCACAGGGGCGATCCAAGGAGAAGACACTCCCTCTGCCATCAATGTCAAACTGGTAATATGCTGGGACATCCGATGTGTTGCTGATTTTCAGCGTCTGCGTCAGACTTTCCCCAAGATTGATCCAGTCAAAATCCAGAAAATACTGGTGCAGGGACACCAAAGGACCTAGCACAACAACAGGCAAGACAGATCCTGGACCTGTCATAGCTGTTTGTCAACATGTCACAAGCCACTGCTGCACTTAATTGATCCCCCCAAACCAGAATCACCTTACTGGCAAACCCACCAGTCCTATTAAACATCTGGACATTCACTTCCAGCAGTCTCACATCTGTCTCAAGCAACTATAAACCTCAAATGGTGCACCAGGAGCAGCCTGGACCCCAGCAGAATGTAAAGTCTATGACTGAGGGCTGTGAGAGTCCCTAATCCTTCCCTGAGCACTAGCCCTTCCCCTGCAGTGCTAAAATGATGATGGGGAGAAGCAGGGAAGACTTTCACTCTGGTACCTTTACATGAGCCAACCACCTTCAGGACAGTCTGCAGGAGGCATCCAGCAGATATAACAGTGAAATAGTCTGTACTGTGCTCTCCTACTGTCTGAGGCTGAAATCGTATGAACAAGACCAGTTTCCCTTTAGCTGGGACAACACCATGGGACACATCACAAGAGAAAAAAAAAAAAAAAAAAAAAAAAAAAAGGTTAACAAAGGAGCCGATAGGAGCCAGGATGGCTCTGAATGCAGGACACTGATTAGTGAAGAACTGCAGTTTTCAGCAGAGCTGAACACCACCAGGAGCACCAAGGCTACTGCAGCTCAGCACAGAAATGCTGTGCAAACCACTGCAACCCTGTCCTGCTGGAGTACTGCTGGCAGCAAGCTCCCCCAACATGCTCAGAAGTCAGTGGGCTGCAACAAAATGTCCTGGTGATCTCTGGGGTTGGAGTGCCCCTCCTGGTAGGGGCGAGGATGGCTCAAGGTATCCCAGGAGGCCAAAGTAGCCTCATTGACTGATGTGACCAGGTGGACAGGCAGGCAGATAACTTATTTCTTTCCATCCACACTTCCACCTTGTCTAGCGATCTCATTTTCACAAAAGCCAAGACTGGTGCTCTGACGCCTCCTTCAAACCCCTTAAAAAAGGTCCTGATCCTTGCCTGGGGATGCTGAGCAGTGTGAATAATAACAGTATAACAAATGAGTATGTCTTTGCCACTCCCAGGTTGCAGAGCCTGTGGAGAAGTCAGCACTGCTGTCATCCAGGTCAGCAGTCTCTGAGTACATCCATCCTTTAATGGGCTGGGATGGGCTGAGCTGGCACAAAGAACGAGGTGCTCAAATGCAGCCCACTGGACTTCGAGAGTAAATCACCAGGTTGCAGTCCTCCGAGAACAGCAGAAGATCCACCAGCTGCCTGGGACACATGACCACCAATTTGAGACTCCACACAGGACTGATGGGCTTGTCCAGGGTGAGCAGGAGAGCTGCAGAGTGTGGAGGGCAACAGTGGCTGGCTGATCTGGACCAAGTGCAGCGGGAAGCAGGTGGGAACTGCCATACCATGCTACAAATGGATGAGCAGCTAGCACTGTAGCCGGAAGGCAAGGGTGGGTGGCCTGGTTGGTAGGGGAAGGCTCATCATCTCTGTTTTGCTCACATTCCCACTCAGATTATTTTCACAGCATTAAAGAAGATACTCAAGACTGCATATCCCAGGGAAATGTGTCAACAGGCCAACTTCTCACAAGAAGTAGTCTCCCTCTCCACATACCACAGACATGTTGAAGATTTCTATACTCTTCTCCACAGTTTTCCCCACTGGCACTGATCCAAAGCACAGCACATCCCGAAACTTTCCAGGCTGTACACCTTCATACTCTTCCCCTGTCACACTCACCCGCAGGTAGGGATATTTGGCTGTTAAAGGGAATAATATACTGGGTTAGGAAAGAGAGGTGGAATCTCCATTCTTGGGATACTCAGCGCTTAGCTGGATAAGCCCCTGAACAACATCAGGTAACTCTGGAGTTGGATCTACCTTCAAAGTTGGCCATGCTTTAAACCAAATAAGCTCCTTTCCAGCCCTAATTTGCTAAACTCAGAGTCACATCTTTTGTTTGTTAGTGGCCAACAAGGTACTTCGGGTAAGGACTTGGTAATGAAACCATTGCTTATTCTAGCTTGCATCCAGAAAGCTTTAAAAATTTCCCTCTGGCTCTCTGTCTTAACAGGGACAGCCAGGAGAGACTGAGTGCAGACAAGACCAGGAGTTACTGGAGGTTTTTGCATTGTGCCAATGAAATCCTCTAATTTCTTCCCCTCTGCCAACTTAAGCAGGCTCCAGAAATGTTGGTTTGGCCAAAGCAAGCCACAGGGCATATTGGACCCTGTGTCTCTTCAGATCACACTTCCAAATTGACAGAAGTACATTAGATAATTTCACAGGCAACTTTCAAACCGTGGGCTTCACTTGCTCATCAGTGGGTTGAGCCAACTGTGGCACAGCCTCAGAGCACAGCACCTCCATGTATCCCTATGGAATGCTATTCCACAGTTAGGGATGATGCACAGTCTTTGAGGGTTAAATGTAAGAAAGACTCACCCAGGGCTTTTAGCTGGATAGTCCTCATTTGTTTCTCTTCACCTCCAAACCAGCATGTTGCTGCCACATCATACACCAGAGCCACCTTGGGTTGGAAGACCACCCTGACCATGCACTCAGCACCGGGGTCCAGTACACCGCAGTCAGGAATCATGTAGAAAGGGCTTGGTGTCTCCCAGGCAAACACAGTAGCGAGATCACTGGGAAATGGAGATATGTTTGAAGTAGATGAACGGATCCTTTGCTGCCTTTGCAATCGCACATAGGATGGACGTTTCCCAGTGGGTTATTCAGTTAGGATGTGAAGAAACCAGTGCTGAAGGGCAGGATCCCTAATGCATCTGGCCAAATATGTGATGCTGGGAAGAAATTTGTCTCTAGTCTCTGTAAATGCTCTGTTCCCATTTTAATGAATCTTAGCTATTACATCTAAGAACTTTATTAATAGCTATAAAATTCCTCAGCTTCATCATGTGATAGCAAATAAATCAGCTCCAGAATGAAGTATTTGCTTTTCCTGTATCTAAATTTGCTGCTACTTAATTCCAAATGAACATTTGTACATCTTTTATATGTCCAGGTGAGAAGAGAGGTCTGAGCTGTTTTCCTAATACCTCATTCAACTCTCCAGAACTCCCTTTGCTTGTTTGATTTGTGCAAAGAACATGACATACCATTGGCTTTTTATATTTTATTGATTCCAAGCGGTGTGTTACTTACCATCCATATCCTTCACCACTCTGGACCTCTCAGTCAGCACAAATGATTTTTCTAAGAAGAGAATGAATCACTTGAAATCGTTTCTGGCTGATACTTTGCTCTGCTGAAGGTACATGTGCCCTCTGTCTTTCCCACCCTCCTACAGCATCAGCTGACTGCTTTGGGGAGCACAGGCAATCTTCCAGCTAGTAAAGGTTGTTTTGTTCTTACTGTGAATGGTTGGAAGTACACCTTCTCCTTTCACTGCACTCCTTTCTACAATACTGCCTGAATTACTGTCCTTCCCTCATTAAAATAAGACTGTCCTTGGTAACCGGGAGCGTCTTTGCTCCTAAAAGATGACTTCAAGCCACAGAATAGTGCCACTTTGGGCAGCTCCATGAACTTAAGAGCAGGCACTGGAGAGACTTTCCAGCTTCTGTATTGCCTGCCTCCAAATTAATGATTTTGGCTTGAGCACCAGCAACTCCACTGCCATCCCTATAGCATTCCTGTGCTGAGGGAAGAGAAGTCATGTCACAGAAAGACCAGAATATTACCAGCTGATTGTTCAGGCAGGCTGCCTTTGATTAACTAGAAGCCCAGGCCTCTCCTGTGAATGTGTAATGTTCTCAGTGGGACACCATGCTGTTTCCTGTGTGTGGTTGGTTCTCAGCATATACTGGAAATGGACAGATGTGAGGTGCCAAGATGTGCCCACAGCAAAATATGACCTGTACTACCTTTTCTGCTGCCTTTTCCGCCATGACCTCAGAGGAGACAAAGGTCTGCTGCCTATTAAGGCAGCCAGCAGATCTAATATCAGCTGGAATGGTCTGCATTCATTGGAGAGTCCAAGAAGGTGGCAAAATACCTGACAAAACAGAAAGAGGGTCTGCCCAGCCACGTCTCACTCACCTAACATTACGCACAGGGAACGTTGTCTCCGTGACATTGTAGACAGCACAGATGGGCAACTGGACAGCAGCTGGGAAGGACAAACATGGGTGTGGAAGTGTAGCACGCAGGGTGACAGAGAACTCACCCTCAGCCTTCTTAAAGCAGATGCTGTCTTCATACTCCCTCTGCACAGAAAAGCAAGGGAAGATGGGAGTTAGACAGGCTCTATCTTGCGGGTACTGCATCTCCACCCCTGAACACCCATCACCTTCACCTCTGTGAGACTGCTGGGACAAAACCATCAGTGACAGAGGCACCAGGGAAGGCCTCTGTGCAGAACAGACCACGCATGAAGCGCTCAGAAAAGGCAGGCAGTGAGTAAGGTACTCAGGCATACTCCTCATCTGTCAGGGGACACACAAACATCCTCAGAGAGAGCAGTTGAAGACCACATTTGTTTTGCCTGATTAGTGTTGATGCAGATGGATTTCTTTCCGTGTTTTCAGGATCCAAATTCAGCTAAACTGAAACATGCACAACCTTTCTTTGAGCTCCATGAACACAGAAATATTAGTCTTTGATTAAGTGCTTTGTCAGCTAAAGACCTAAACGGATAACACACAACTTAAAGATGCAGCGTTGACAGCACTGTGGATTAATAGCCCCAGGACATCTGCTAACCAGCTAAAATAGAAGGAATTGCAAAATATGTGTCTTCTATGCTCCCCAATCGTCACCTCTCCTGAGTACTACTTCTAGAGGTAAGGAGAGACCTTGGGCACTGCAACACACACAGTCCTTGCTCTCTCTGAGAAAGGGAGCTTCCTGCTCTAGCAACTGATGTGGTGCAGACAAACTATTTGCTGAAAATGGAACAAGGCCAGCAGCTTATTTCATAAAGGGAACACTGAACAGTCATCAGAAAATCATGATACTAAAGAGAGCAGGGTACTGGGAATTCGCCCAACGATCACGCTCTGTGGCTAGGACTGAGATTCACATCAAAGACATACAGCTGTGGACAAGAGCCAGAGATCAACACACAGAGCCAAGACAGACACCAGGAACAAGCTGAAAATCAAGAAAAAAGGCTGGGTAAACAGAATCATTGCTGTTAAAAATAAAGCTTAAAGAAACCCACCCCATCCAAAAGAAGGGGGGCCCTTGACATATCCCTTATAGAAAATCAGTAGCCCTTCAGTTTACAGGTTTTGGGGTCTCCTGTAAGAAAGCAGAGAGTGAGTCCCTCAACCAAAGGTTCTGCACTAAAACCACCCAGCTGGGTCTCCCTGAGATCAAACCAGGTGTGGACAGTTCAAGCACCTTATCTTACTGATTTCATGGCCAGAAGCAGCATGTGGAAAACTGGGAATGCTTTTTGTGAGGAGCCCTCTCTTAACTATTGGCAAACTCTGCAGAGGAGTCAGGGGTTAGGGCTCCCTCAGGTGATGAAGATGTGGGGAGAGTAGGAAGGTCAGTCTTTACATGCTAGAACCTTTCCTAAGGACAGATTCATTCAAGTGAAAACAGATCAGAAAGGACAAGAGAGACAGAGGCCCACTGCCCCCCTGAAAGCCAGCCTGAGCACTGAGAACAATTCTGATGTTACCACTTTACCTTTTCAGTGGGCCGGAAAACGATGGGCAGAGTTAAGGACATACCAGGACTCAAAGTGATCGGCTGCGGAAAAACAGTGAAGAAGAATCGCGTGGAAGGACATCTGGATAATGAAATCAAAACAAGAGATTTTGTCTGAGGGCATGCAGCTGTTCTTAAGTTAGATAGCAGAAAAGATAATAAAGAATCAAAACCTCCAGACCCCACAATCAGAAGCACTTTACACACCTGACCCCAAGGGTACCTTGGTAGCAAATCAGCAGAAACAGGGGCAGAACCCAGGTGTCCTGGAAACCCATTCCCAATTCTAAGTCTCCACACCTTCCTTGAACAATATTTTACATTGCCAGGCCATGAAACATGAACAAAACACATTTGGCAGAAACATTTGAGTTTCAGAGCAGGGAGGGTCACAGGGAGCATTGTAATGGCTCGACATCCAGTGGGACTCGCGGGAGCAATGGTTTTAGGACACACTAGTGACTGGCTGGCATACATCCACAATTAAAATCTCACTAGACTGGAAATGCCTCACAGACAGAAGTATCAGCAAAACAGAATTTTAAAAAGGCATTTCATTTAAAATATTCCTGCCAGGAACAAGGGCTGTGCTTCTGAATTAGCAGGTTTCTGTCCTGCTATGTAAGTGTGCATGCGCTGTCTCGAGCACAATGCTCAAGGGGAGAGGGGCCAGATGCATCCAAGAAAAGGTGCTAACATGACTGATACAGCAGGAGGGATGAAGATGCAGTGAGAGTGTGAGGAGTATGGAGGAGAAAGAAACTTCCCACGCACCTGTAGCTCAGCTTCTGGGTTTTCTCATGAACATTTTTCAAGATCAGATGTTTGATCATTTCTTTTCCAAGTTCCCAGCCATGCCACCTGAGTGTTTCAGCCACCTCAATGCCCCAGAACACGCCTTTCTTCTTTGCCTTTCTTGCAGACAGCTTAGGGAGTTGCAACGGGGACATTAGCAGTTTGGAAAGGAGGGAGGAGAAATCACTCAAACAGCTGTTTCTCTACGCTAAATGTCTCTGACTCTGGCAAGGACGGGAGGAGCCACCCTGCGGCAAAGTTCCAGGAGTCACCAAAAGCCCTGTTCCAGGAGTCCAGAGGGGACACCTCCTGGCCACAGCCCCAACAACAGATACTAACGGATGTCATGAACGAGGGAAGCAAAAGCTAAGGAGTATTTTGGTTTTCTCCTCTCCCTACCCGTAAATCCACCCATGACTTTGGCACCCTTTGCTCCTCCACTCACCTTCCTGACACAGCCGCAGTGCATCTTCCGAAAAGAGTCAGAGTTTTGGGGCTCACCAGGCACCTGAGCAAGCATCTGAAAAACGAGAGGAAAAAGTCCTCACGCACGCTGCTCCTGCACGCCCAGAGGGTCTTTGCTGCCAAGACGTGGGCGATCCCAGAGGCCCAAGGACGCTCCTCAGGCTCAGGGCGGCACACCTCCCTGCAGGGGCTGCAGCGTCCCCAGCAGTGTCCCCACTTCACCAGCTGAGTCCAGCCCTCTCCACAGACCGCGTTGTCCCCAGGCTGCCACAGCAGCCTCCTTGGCACAGACCCTGACGCCTCCCCGCGCCTCACGGGCAGCTCAGCCCCCTGGGGCAGAGCTCTCCTCGGGCCTTTGCAGCACAGCCCTGCCCAGCCCACTGCCGACTCACGGAGCCCGGTATAGCAAAGCCCTGCTTTACAGCCTTGCCGGGCCCCTAAAACCCTGATGTCTGTGGCACGGCCTTGTTCCCTACAGCGAGAGCCTGCCCAGCTCCCCGGGGCACGGTGCAGCCCTTCGTAACCCCGACTGCCACCGGCGCAGGGCCGAGGCCCCGTGCCGCCACCGCCCCCCGGGCCCGCACGGCCAGACCGGCTCCCC